TGAGAATGTAGAACAATGGGAACTTTCATAAAATACTGATAGGAGTGAATACTTTTGCAATGACTTTGGAAAGAGCTATTGGACAATATTTAGTAAACTTGAAGGTACTTCTCAGACTCAACAATTCTACCCATAGGCATTCCATTAGAGACACTATCACATGTGAAAAGTTGGAGAAACTTACAAGATGTTCATTAAGGCATTTTTGTAGTACTAAACAATTGGAAACAACCTAAATGTCCTTCAATGGGCAAACGGATAAATAGATTATAGAATATTTCCCCAGTGGAATACTGCACAGAAATTAAAATGAATGGATCGGCACTTCTGGTCTTACCTATCTGCATCATCATGCGTCACCTGGTATCCCTATGTCTAGTGTCTTCCCATGTCTGTACAACTGTAAGACCTTTGAAAATAGTAATTAGAAATTCTTCAGTGCACTTTTAAAAAGCAGTTTTATTGAGGTATAGTTGATATACAATAAATTAAATATATTTAAAAGGTACAGTGTGATAAGTTTTGACACAGTACAAAATCACCAGATCAAGGGAGTGAACATATCTGTCACTCCCAAAAGGTTTCCTGGTGTCCCTTTGTAGTCTCTCCCTCCAACCCCTCCCATCCCCAATTAACCACTGGTCGGCTTTCTGTCACTATAGCTCAGTTTGCATTTTCTACTTTTTTTAAATGGGCTCATTCAGTATGTATTCTTTTGTCTTGCTTTTACTCAGTATAATTATTTTGCGATTCATCCATGTTCTTTCATTTTTACTGAGTAGGATTCCATTGTTTGGATACTCCACAATTTGTTCATCATTCACCTGTGGTAGACAACTGGGTCGTTTCCAGTTTTTGATGATTACAAATAAAGCTGCTATGAACATTTGCCTATGAGTCTTTGTGTGGGCATGTGCTTTCTCTTCTTTTAGGTAAATTTATTGAAATGGAATGGCTGGATTAAATGGTAGGTATATGTTTAACTTTTAAAAAAACTGACATAGTGGTTGCACCATATTACATTTCCACTGGCAGGCTTCAGTGGGTTTTAAGAATAAAATCCGGGGCAATTGTTAGGCATTGGAAAAAGGGCCTTTACTGGTGTAATGAAGGCTCTTGAGATGAGATCCTCCTAGATGTAGAGTGGTCCTTAACCCAATGACTGATGTGCTTATAAGAGAAAGGCAGAGGGAGACAGCGACAGACAGAGGAGAAGACAGGCAGAGACTGGAGGCAAGCTGCCAATCAAGGAATGTCTGAGGCTCGCATAAGCTGGAAGAGACGCAGAAGGATTCTCCCCAGAGCCTTCCGTGGGAACGGGGCCCTGCCGGCACCTTGATTTTACCCTGCTGGCCTCTAAAACTGTGAGAATAACTGCTGTTTGTTTTAAGTCTCCCAGCTTCTAGTATTTTGTTACAGCAGCCTTAGGAAGCTACTATACTCAGCATAGATGTTACACTGGGCACTGAGGATTTGAAGGATGTTACACTGGGCACTGAGGATTTGAAGATAAAATGCGTGGATCCTATTCTTGAGGAGTAAAGAAGTAGAACAACAGACTTACAGGGAACAATTACATTAAATTGAGATAACTGCTGCAATTGGGAGTATTTAGGAAATAAATTATGGTCTGTCCATGCTGTGGAACACCATGCAGGCCTTTAAAACAACAAGGTAGAGTTATATTTAGTGGCATGGGAAATTAGCTGTGATAAGACTTTGAGTAAAAAACAACAGCAAAAAGTAAGTTGCAGAACAATTATTGGGGCTGTTTTAAAATCAAAGCAGCATATATAAGAAATGTTCACCAGGGCACAGGAGAAGGTGTGGCAGGAAGTACTGAGCCTGTAACAATGCTTAGTGTCGGCAGCTGTGCTGGGAGGGTGAGAGAGGTGACTGGATCAGATTTCATAAAGAATTCATAACGTTTTGTATTGTTTGAACTTTTTATTTCTGTAAGTATATATTGTTTTGTAATGTAAACATGTTTTTAGAGAGTGTAAGAAAGACAGGTAGCCATCCACGGAGGGGAGGCTCATTCCTTGGCACCTGCTACCACCCGTCTTTTCTGCCCTCAAGCCCTGCGAATGCTTGAGCCTACACGCCTGGCCAGAGGCCTCTCCCCCGCTCTCCCACCTGCATGCCTTCTTCCCCACTTGGGTCCATCCCTGCCCCCCACTTACATCCTCTCACCTGTGTCCCATCCTGTACCACCTTCCCAAATTGTGCAGCTCTTTTACAAGGTTCAGGAAGGGTGAGACTGTCGGAGTCAGTGAACCTCAAGTCAGTTCACGTTAGTGACTTTACCTCCTCATCTGGGATGTAAACTCTCTGTGTAGGCAAGAAACTAATGCACTAAACACTTAAACTCCTAACACCTGCAAGGCAAAGCTATCTACTCTAGCCATCGAATACTCGTACGAGCCTTGTGAGTAGGCATTTTTATCTCCATTTCACAGGACACTCTGCTCAACGAGCCCAGTGTCTGACAGCAAGGACTCAAACAGAGCTCCAAGCAGCCCAAACTCCAAGCATTCTGTGCCATGGCCCTGGGGAAGCAACCACACCATATACCTCCAAGCTCATTTCCTGCAAGAGGGTAAGAGCTGGATAAATGTTTGCATAATGATGAAAGTAGTTTATCCTTCAGCCAGCATGTCCATTAAATAGTCTTTGTATTCATTTTCCATTAAAGCTTCCTCTCCCCAAAGCTTAAAAAAGGAAAGGAAATGTGCTGTGTTTGACCTATTTACATCCATTAGCATAATTTATTAAACTAGAGAACTGAGAAGCTCCTGGATGAACAGAAGGGAGCTCAGCAATCTCGGTGGGGAGGCAAAGGGACCACTAAGGGCCTGGGGTCCCAGGAGCACCGCAAGAGGGCTAAAAATGGCTCAGAAGTGGAGGCAGGAAAGAGCAAAGACAAACTTCTTCATGGCAGAGTGGAAAAAGCCCCAGGCTTCGTGGTGGGGAGGGGATACCTGGACTTGGCCCCCAGCTCTGCTGCCCACTGGCTGGGAACCTAGGGCAAACTAGTTTGCCCACCCCCCAGCCTCTGCTTCCTCCTTTGAGAACTGTGAGAGGTTAGCGACCTCACTATCATGATCCCGTTCATTCTGATGAGGTGATGACTGTGAGTGCTGCTTGTAAAGACCGAGGAAGGCATGGACACTGTTCCCAGTGGCCACACTACTACCATGACTGTTATCTTTCCTTGAATTCAGAATTCTCAGTCTGAAAGATGGGATGTTATGAAATTGCTTTAAGTGCCTTTGAGGCAGGGATATTTATATCCCCCATCTCCTGGGAGCTAGAAGGGTGCTTTGCACCTAACACATAAACAATAAATGAATGGATTTGGTTTGTGACTGTTCAAGCAGTGGCCCTATGCAAATATCACTGTCATGCAACCTGACCCTCCTCCTCCCCTCAAGCATCCTCAAGTGCTAAGTCTATCCCGCAGCAGCTACTCAGGGATTATTATACGGGGTGAGAGTGCCTATGGGGAATGGGGTAGGCATGATAAGGAGAGCCCAGTTTAGGTACAGAGGAGGCCCCTGAATCATCTCTTTGATGGCTATCAAAGGCCAGGAATACTAAGTGCAAGAGTGAAACTAGGGAAGGATACAATGGTCTGATGATAAACAGAAGGGGCCTTCAAACTACTAGATAAAAGCAAAAACAACAAAAATAGTAATACATCCTGATAAATTACTTTAAAGCACATAATACACACATACACACCCAAAATACATTTATGGTCACTCTAGTTGGCAATATATCTAAAGAGTAAGATGGTGGTTGGTGTTGGGGACATAAGATAAAATGTTTCTTTTGTCTGTGTGTGTCCTTTTTCCAGATCCCGGTAAACAAGGTGCTCTGTTCCATCCAAAGCTGGTAACACTCATACTGATCCTTTCTAGCTACAGCTCGTGATTGCATTTGGTAGCAGAAGCACTGCTCCAGGTCAGAATGGCAGGATGCTTTGGTGCTAGCAAAAGAAAACTCAGATGGATTCTTAATAGTGAGTTGAATGATGATCCCCTCACCTCCAAAAAAGATATGTCCATGTCCTGATCCTCCAAACTTGTGTTATACATGATTTAGAAAGAAGGTCTTTGCAGATATAATTAAGAATCCTGAGATGATATCCTCTTTGATTATCCAGTGGTCCCTAAATCAGATGACCTGTGTCCTTGTAACAACAGAAGGTCAGAGGGAGGTGTGAGACAGTCCTAAGAGAAGACACCAAGAGGAGACAGCGATGTGAAGATGGAGGCAGCGATGGGATTGATGCGGCTACAAGCCAAGGAGTGCCATGGATTGTCAGCAGCCCCGTGAAACTAGGAGAAAGCATGGAATGGATTCTCAGAAGGAAGTGTGGCCCTGCTAATACCATTTCAGACTTCTGCCTCCATAACTGTGAGATAATTAATCTGTTGTTTTAAATAATCCAGTTTGGAGCAATTTGTTACAGTAATCCTATTAAAACTAATAGGATTCTGAAATGTTATCTTCTCACGAATGTTCAACGTGAAAGATAATGGACACCCAAACCTCAGTCCAAAGCTTGGAGGAAGTCTGCATGGGAGCCCTACGCAGCTTCTCTGAGCTTGATACTCTCTCAGAGTACTTCCCCAGGGACCCGCAGGCTTCTGACTCCTCCAGCAGAACTTTGACGCTTTCACGGTCCTGTATAACCTTCCCCAGGTACTTGCTCAACAGAGCCCCATAGCCCAGATCTTAAGGATGTTTAGCACTCTTTCTCACCTATCCATGTTCAAGGGTTCTAGGGCTCAGGAAAATCCTAAAATGTGGCTGAAATCATAATGAGGATGGATAGATTCTGGGAGCCTAAGGCTGTCTTTGTAGCACTGAGCTTATACTACCGAGTGTCATCACTATTAAGAACTAGGTAACTACATGCTGAGTGGTTAAATCTAGCATATATCCCTTACAAGCCCTGCCTGGGCAAATGGTGAGTGGGGTGAAACTGTGTGCTAATCTCCTCCACATCTCCTTCAAAAGCTCTCATGCCCCTGATTACTCAGGGCCTCTGGACTGGTCTGATCTCTCTGCAGGACCCTTTCTACTGCTCCTCTCATCCCACTCACCAAATAAACCTATTCCTTGTCTATTACTCTAGGCTTTTCTCCACTGCTAAGGGACAATTATCATTAATGCATTAATTAGGTCAGCTCAAGAGTTTGACAAATTTCTCATTGTGGAAACCAGATGGAGAAAGCTGGGTTGGCAGTGTACCTATGGGCAGATTCATAGTTGGCCAAAGGTCCTCATGGGAAAATAAAAATCCCTAGCCTTCTGAAAAAAGGTTTCCTGCCCTTGGTCCAATCCTGGTCAATATTTTAATCAGTGATTTAAATAAAGTCAGAGACAAGCTTATTTAATTTCCAAATAACCCAGCTCTATGAGCGATGTAGAAAACATGTTTGTTCACATATTTAATATTTTTAAAGATATGAAATGATGGGCCACAATGAAAAAAACATGAACTGATGGGCCAGAATCAAGATAATTTCTTTCACTAGGCTTCAAAAAATAAGCCACAAGAGTAAAAGGTTAATAGCATGTTGTGGAAGAAAAGAATTAGTAGTTTTATTTTAAGCTCAATATAAGTCAATACCCTTAGAAGAATTTTTTAAAAAGACACTGATTTAGGTCTCATTTCTGGAAGGCAAAGGCCCAGATCAAGGAGGTGGTCATTCAGGTATGCACTGGCAGAACACGCCTGCAGTTATGACTGTGGTTCTGGGCATAATGGCTGAAAAGACACAACGGCTCGCTGGTGGCTACCCAGAGAGACAAGGTGGGTTGGTGAAAAGTTTAACAGCCTTGTCACCTGAGCAAAGTTGCTTTTTAGGCTGGAGAAGAAAAGACTCAGAGACATGTTATCTATCTTCATATATCTGAAGAGTTATCCATACAGAAGAGTTGGGAGGGTGGATTGAAATCCCGTGTACCTTCAGGGAGTGAAACAAAGGCAGAGAAAAGTCTAAAGGGCCCCGATTTGGTTTTACTTCAAAGAATCAGAGGTGTACAGCTTTGCAAGGAGGTGACACTCCCCTCCTTGGAAATATTTAAGCACCCCATCACGCAGTGACCACAGGGTGGGCTACGCTGGGCTAGTGGGCTGGCTAGGTTCCTCGCCCACCTTCACTGCCAAGTAAGCAGCTGTCTCCTCAGAAGCCACGTGGTTGGCCAAAATGGATGACTCTTCAGATCAGGCACGGCCATTCTTGGCGGGAGTCTCAAGTGGCATTGTCCCAGGTTAGAATCTCTAAATAAGCTCTCAAAGCCCGTTTGAACAAATCTCTTCAATGTTAAGTTACTTGTATATAGCATTTTATTAGGATTATTTTTATTTCAGATGGAAGATGCCCAACTCAAATCAGCTCAAGAGAAACGAGGGAATTTCTACATATGACAAAATAATTAGTTCATGTGATTCTGGGGGACAAAGGCGGGGCTGGTTTCAGACACAGTCAGTCAGAGCCTCCCCCTCCTTCTCCAAACTCTGCTTCTGCCATTCAGAGCCCAGGGCTGCAAAGAACTCTAGGCTGACTTCACGACAGCTGGAACCCCTGGATGAACAGAGAGGTACCAGCTTTTCCTAGGGACTGGCTTGGCCTGGGTCATTTTTTACCCCCGGATGAATCACTGTGGCCAAAAATTGGGGACTCTGACTGGCCAAATTTAGGTTACTTTTTCACCATTTTGGCCCAGGATAGGGACTGTAATTAGTAGGCAGAATTACATGGATAGATAATGGACAGAAGTTGCCAGGCAGATAAAACAACAGCCATCCATTACTGGGCTTAATCTTTTGCAGAGCTCTTTTGCACACATGATCTCATTTGATTCTCACTATGACTTTGTGAAGAATGTAGAAAACATATTTTTCTCCACCATATGATGCCATTTCACCTTACAGGGGAAGTAGGTCACATATTAGATAAAATACTTTGAATTTCTTAAAGAACATTGCCATGAAAAGGATAAATCCATTGACTGTCCTTTATTGTCATCTGATACATTCCTTGCACACTGCCAGCTCAAGCCATTTCAACTGAACTCCTGACAGCAGAAAACTCCCTTTCTGGCAGTAGGTCCACTGGGAGCAGCTTAACATTATACACAAAGCGAATCAGTAGCTACGCCATCCCTGAATTCCCTGAGGTCCCACCCTCTGAACCATAGGTCCTTCCTCTCTTCCCCAAACTGTTCCCTGGCTCCTTCTCTATCCTGGAAATCAGAAACACCAGTAGGAAAATTAGTCAGGTGTTATTTCAAGCAGAATTATAATCGGCAGCAGGTCATTTACTTATTCATGCCTTCATTTTACTTGTTCTTTTGTTTATTTATGCATTCATTTGTTCACACAAAAAAATTGTGTGGAGCACCTGTACATTAATTAGTGATTAAAGAAGCAATTTCAACAAAGAGATCCCAAGGTAGAATAACTTAAGAAAAATAGTTTATTGTCTCTCGTGTAAGTGTGTGGGGTGAACAGTCCAGTTAATGGGGAGCTTTGCTAGGGATCCAAGTTCCTTCCCTGTTGCTGCTCTGCCATCCCCAGGGCCTGCTTCTTGTCTCCCCCATCTGCTTCCTGGCCTGTAGGAGCAGGAAAATACAAAAGGGACAGGCAACTAACTCTGTTGTTAGGAATGTGAAGTGGAGAAGTACCTCACTTCTGCTCTAACCCATTCGACAGAAACCTCACAGGGTCATGCCTAGCTGCAAAGGAATCTGGATAATGTGGCTCTTGCTAAGCAGCCATGTGCTCAACCATGACTTACTGAAAATTGAGACAGTAGCAGTGTCTGTCACAACCTGCTCTGTGAAATGCAGTGTACTAGGTAAGATGAAAATTGCATGGGTCCCACTCCCAGGTGGCTGTAAACTAATGAGAAAGAAATGCCTTGTTGCCTAGCAGCAATACAAGGCAATATGGAAGAAGGGTCAGGAGAGTGCGGCAAAGAGCTTGAAAAGTTCAGTGGAGAAGGAGGGATGACTTGAACTTGAGGTGATTAGAATAGGCTCTGAAAGGAGGCAGCATTTGAACTGGTTGTCCTGGGCTTGAAAGATGGATATGAACCTGAAAATGGAAATGGGCTGAGGACAGCAAGCAGAGCAAAAAGCAGCTGTAACTGTCAACCAAAGGGCAGGCCTGCATGTGAACGAGGGCTCTTCAGCTGTCCCTTCCTGACAGCATCACTCGCATGCTCACTTATTCACTGCTTCCCTTCCCTTTTGCATGAGCATCCACAGATCACCGGTGTCCTCCTGGGCCTTGGAGGACACCAAGCCAAGCAGATGGCCAGACTATTTTTCTAACTGTGGGTATGCAGCTCTCACTTGAGTCCTCTTCTATCCTTTCAGAGTGAGAGAGGCCACAAATGTTTATGGAGACAGGCCAGGCTGTGAGTCAGAGCTGGGAGACCTGGAACTAATAACTTATTCATGACAAACATTTTCAGAGCTTTACAGTTTACAGAACACGTTAACATCTAGAATTTTATTTGATTCTCTTCTCAACTCAGACAGGTGGCTGACATAACACATCAGTCATGAAAATGCTTTGAAAAACCAGCCCTGTTGCAGAAGGCAAAAGCTCATTGCAGCGACACTAAAGTTGATTCAGAACGTGTGGTAATTTGCACAAAGGCCCAGGCTGGAAATTATCTTGACACTCACTATAACTAAGAGGATTTGCTAAGCAAATTGACACAGGGTGGACAACATTGCTGGGAGATGTTGTGTAACTTATGGAGGGCAACCACTTCCCATGCCTCCTGTGGTACTATTGCGAGAGTATAGGACATCAGTTAATTCTGAACAATGCTCTTGTCATTAAGTAGGTCTGGCGGGACTCTGAGGTGGCAGTAAAACCATGCTAGCTATTTGTTTGAGCTTCTGAATATTCTGAAAAGGAAGAAAATTGCTAAGAAAATTAGTTTGGGGCCTCACAGAGAGAATTTAAGTGTTAAGAAGACTGGACCACCATTTGGCCAGGATGTTGAGGAGGAGATTCTGGCATTAGTCTGCAATCTGGATTAATTTTGGCAGTGAGAACTCTTTCTTTTCTTTCTCCTAAAATCTCCAGAAAAGCTCAGCTAATCAAATACATGCGGAGCACTCCTTGGCGTGAGGCTGTGTCCTCTCCATTTCTTATCTCTACCCCCACTCCTCCCAAAGCACCTTCAACCAGATACTGAAGAACTCAAAAGCCTGGGGACATTTAAAATCTCTGTGAATCCTGTGTCTGGAAGCTTTTGGAGATCTGCAATCGATAGCAGCCAGCATTTATCCGGAGCTTATTTTATGGCAGGGTCTATGCCTAGTGCCTGCTTGTACAGATGAGGACCCTGACGCCTACAGACTTCTGGAGACTGGTCTGCTGTCACACTAAGAGTAAGCATGGGGCTGAGACTTGGGCCTGGTCCCACAGCTCCAAGGAACATGCTTTTCCTTACAGATCCCACCTCTGTATCAACGTTCCCCTCTCTATTTAGTGGGATGTGAGTTAGCGGCTGTATTTTTAATAATTTGTGTCCTAACAAAACCTAAAGGATGAGGACTCATCTTCCAACCAGAGGCCTTGTGGCCTTAATAAGAGAGCTTAGAGATGGGTCCCTGTCCCCAGGGGCTGGGAGCTTGGTGTTGCTGTGGATGACAGCTGAGCAACCTGAGAAGAGCTCAGTAAATGGAAGCCAAAGTGTGTAACAGCATACTGCATTTTCAAGCGGATGCATATTTGCTGGGCACATGGAGGGGGATCCAGAAATAGACATTTGGGATGAATATAGAGCCAATGGAGCAAGTCATGGAGCTTAAACTTGGTTATTTTATCTAAAGGTCATTCATTCATCAGACATTTATTGAGCTCCCTTCTATGTCAGGCACTGGGGTGAGTGCTGAGGATATAGAAATAGGCTCTGGCATCTCAAGAGAAATGGCTTGCCAAAAAATAACAGTGTTCAAAAAATAACAACAGCATGGGCAATGGACAGCGAGAACCAAAGCAGGCGGCAGGCCCTGCGGGGGCCATCTAACAAGGTTGTTCTGCGGTAGCAAAGTGGGAGCGATCCCCCTTCTTGAAGGGTAGTGGTCAAGACTTCCTAAATAATCCTTCAATGAAGCCTCATGATGACACTGCAGTTGTCTTACAGAGAAAGTTTGGCAGAAGGATCGAGGCCCGGGTGAGAGGTTACCAGCCTCCCTCTGCAGCCTCTGCCTCCTTGGGCAGCTGACGCTTGCTGCAGGCGTTTAGTGAACAGGTCATGATTGACTGGAGGCCTGGAGGCTGTTCTCTCACCTTAGATACCCTCTCCTGTTTGCAGAGGGAGGCTGCATTCTATTTGTAGCCAAACTCCTTCTGGAGGACACGTCTAGTATTCTGTCCATCTGGCAGGCCCCTGCCCACCTGGGCCACTGCATTCTCATGCCAGGGTTCTCTGTTATTTTGAGAGAAGCTGATGTATGAGGAAAACAGGAGCTGTTGGCTGCCCGG